TTCTGGTACGGCAACTTGCAAAGGACGGCGTGCGAATTGCGTAAGAGATATTAATTTTTTAATTTTTTGACGGGAGAAATTAATTTTTTTAAGAAATAAAAAAAAGAAAATAAGAGAAAAATGTTGCTTTACCGGTATTACCGGTAAAAAAAGACAAAATACGTGTCGATATCACAGAAGTTCCTGAGACTAAATTGCTTCCTCCGTGACTACACCCTTCCACTTTAACTTAATCAAAGCGGGACCCACCAATTCCACCATGGAATCTATTTTTAACTTAAAATTTTATTCATTTTTTTTAAAGAAAATACAATTTTATTCTTATATTTTGCTAGAATATACTTATTTGTCCCCGTATTTTTTAAATATACTAATTTTTCTTTACGTTTCGTATCTGCTGCATTATATTACTGTATTCTTTCGCCAATTTTTTTATACTTTCTCTATTAAAAATGACAGAATACGGAAACAAACTAATTATAATTTAACAAAATATAGGGTCAAAATAATAATTTTTCCTCTTTAATTTATTGGTTTAATGTAAAAAAAAAAAGGATATTAGAATGAATGCAAAATATAAGGAAAAAATATTAAATCTTTAAAAATATAAAGATAAGCTAATGTATGTTAATTAACTATATGACTAAAATAATAATTATTCTATTTTTTAAATTTTCTATAATATATTTTTACGCTCGGATAGAAATATGAAATGCAATCCACTTCCCCTTAGCTACATAAATATTATATATAGAAAGTAAATTTATTCCAGCTAAAAATTAAATTTTCTTCATAATACTGTATATCCATTTTTCAATTAAACACCAATTAGGATGAAAAATTCATAATTTCAGAGTTTTAAAACAATATTTAATAGATCAGCAATATTTTATTTTATTTCTCTTTTTACTATTTTCTGAGAAATTTATTCCTTTCACATTATATGTATATAAAAGTTAAGATTTGTAGCTTTATAATAATAATTCTTAAGAAATTTATTATATAAAATTATTGATTGAAAGGACAATTAATGTTGAATATAGAAAAGTTGAATGCAGTTTCCGCACAAACAAAACTTAATGACGTAAAATCTTCTCGTAATCAACTAATTATAATTAATTAATATCATATCTTTGAAAGTTAAAACTTAAAATAGGACGCAACATAATAAAATAATAAAATTAAAAAACAAAAACTAAAATTATATATTTACTAAATTAAATAAGAAATCAACTTCCAAGGTCTTAATGCTTCTTCTAAACAAATAATTAAAAAGTAATTAGACAAAGAAACAGAGGGAAAGCGAGCTTTTAAGCAAATAATTACAGGATGCTAAAAAGAATCACTAAAGATTTCTTTATGAGTGTTAACAAAAGATTAGTGTGAAGTACCCAAAAATTTTTGTATCTAAAACTTTATAGCCACATTACTAGAAGCTGTTAGGGGGTAAACGCACAAATGAAAACCTAAACGACAATAGTACGAACAATACTACAAATTAAAGTACAAACAATAACTCAAAAGTACTCACCATTCATTTCATTTTCACAAATACATTAGTACATCTTTTCTCAACAAAGCTACAATTTATATATATAATATAAAATATATGTACATATTGCACAATTCATATAAATTAGCATATCAAAAGCCTAGCTAGTTACATCATCCAACTCCTAGCTATTCAGCAATATCTCCTTTGATCTGTGTTTTTTCTTGGTTTCGGGTTCATTTCGGTCTCTTCTTTTTTTTTTTTTTTTCACTTTTTTGCACGTTTCCGGGCACAAACGCAGATCAACGCTAATGACGTAAAATCTTCTCGTAGATCAACTAATTATAATAATTAATACAATATTCTTTGAAAAAGTTAAACCAAAGCTTAAAATAGACGCAACAGTGAGATACCCGAAAGATGATCCACGAGAGATTAGAACAAACGGAAAAACAAAAGATTATATATTACTAAATTAAATAAGAAATCAACTTCCAAGGTCTTAAGCTCTCTAAACAAATAATTAAAAAGTATTAGAACAAAGAAACAGAGGGAAGCGAGCTTTTTAAGCCAAATAATTCCCAAGGAGCAAAGAAGAATCACTAAAGATTCTTTATGAGTGTTAACAAAAAGGAGACCGGTGTGCAGTACCCCGTCAAAACGAGTTTTGAGTGATACTATAAATCTTTTATAGGCGTACATTGGTACTAAGGTAAGCTGTTAGGGGGTAAAACGGCAACCAAATGAATAAACCTATATAAACGACATAATAGTACGAACTCAAATCACTAAAATTGAATTTAAGAGTACAAAACAATAACATCCATTTTAGAAAAGTGACTCCAGCAATGACGTGCGAGAATAAGGTTTTCCTACAGTTTTTTGAATCCACAATGACGACTTAACGAATCTTTGTCACAAGCATAGGTCTCAAAGCTGACAATCTCGATATCATATAATTCACCAAATAAAAGAATGAGTAACCGGTAGGTGAGCACACAGACTCGTCTCACGAATCAGATAAATTGAGCATGAGTCGAATCCGTCCTAGGCGCTCGGTAGCATTCATCTGAGTAAAGGCCAACGTACCAATAGCTCTTCTGGGCATGAATAATTCCGAAATCAATAATCTCCTTCTGGATGCGTGGGACGTGAATGTTTTTTCTGCGTGTACTTGCGCGGGGGTTCGAAACAGTTAATGGTCGGGTCTCTTTCTTTTTTTTTTTTTTTCACTTTATTAATTGCAAGTTTCCGGGGGTTATGTAACGTCGGTCTGTTTGTTGCCTTATACGAGCACCCTCCGGGAAGAGGGAGGCCTCCTCATTCCTTCTGTTTAACACAGCAACGGCACAGGGTTGCTTAACGCGGACCAGTTATAAATCCTTGGAGCAAGAAACGATATTAGATATTGCGTGCACGAAGAATCACGCGAATTAATTTATGAATGATTTGCATTAGGTTTGATGGAACCGTATATTAGCAGTAATTAGTCATTCTATGGTAAAAGGAAGCAACCGCCACCATTCGTGGGGAGGAGCATGGAGCGACTCGCTCCTGCTCTCTCGAGGTTGTCGCTGTACCATAAGCGGACGTTGGTGGTGTTGGCGGCTCGCACTGGATGTAAGATACAAGCCTGGTGAGAGGAGCTGTAGCTTGTGTTGCCTTACTCCCATATTCGCCTCTGTTTCTATTCATGGCGATCCCTTGTCGGGGACTGCATCTGATTAACTCTCGACTATTCAGTTTCCTCAAGTCGCTGATATACATGTGCTTCCTTCTAATAAAGTTCTCGACGGGATGTTCGAGACACGATTGCTAGACATGACTACTAAGCACAACGGATATCAGAATATGTTCATATTTACCATTTGTGGTTTAGAGAAATCAATATAAAAACCATTCACAGGGAAAAAGTGGTCATAGACGCATACTAATGTTAGATTGACTGGGGCCCTGTGGTTGGGTGTCACGGTTGGCAAGTCCTGAACCCAGTCCAGTGTCTTTTGTTTCGGCCTTGTCGTTATCTTCTGTCTCTTTGTATTTTTGCTGGTGGGAGTTCGCAACACAATGTGGTGGTTGGGCATAGGGCAGGAAGTAGAAGATTGCAAGTGGTCTTGTTGCCCGGAGTGTGGGACACAGGCTTGCGGCGCGATTTTAACCTTTTTGGAAGACTGGACCTGAGTATTAGCGCATGGCAGAAAACAACTTTCCGGAGGTAAGTAGCCACATGTTGCGGACCATCTCGTGGGGACACCTTAAGTATTTTTGTTGTTATATCCTTATGTTTCGTAGGAAAACTTACAGAGAAAACGACAGTAAAAAAGACGAGTAAAACGCCATTTTTCTAGTAAGAAATGCGAACAGAGAGGAAAGAGAAATTTACACAAATCTTATAGAATATCAAATTGGAAAATAACAATACAGGATAAGTAGCGTACGTTGGTAGGTGCCGAAGAAATAATAAAACATAAGCAAGAATACATAAACGAGGAGGTCACACGGAATACCTTTGCAACCAAGAGAACAGAAACTGAAAGGAAAATTGTAATGTAACTGCTTACGCCCAACGAAACTGACACAAATGTTAGACTCTTAGTAACGAACCATTTTTTTGGTCCCTAAGACGATGAAGAAGTGTATGTAGTAACTTTCCATTTCCAAAAGGAACACGGACAATTTCCTTGGGGAATATAGTTAATCGGAAGTCGGTAGGATTCTGAAGGATCTTCCATATTATGACTATGTGCTTTTTAAAGATAATAGTTCCCTCGAAAATCTCAGGACACCTTCGTCAATCTAGATTGTGAGCGATGAATTGGATATAACGAGATTTCCATGTCCATGTTTCCTTTAAATTCAAGTCTTCGGTGGCTAGGCCATGAATCATCCTTTAATCACACCCCACCTCACACACAATACAACAGCAACAACAATTGAGTTAAAGGAATCAATTTTGAGAGTCTTAATTGGCGGTTGGAATAAATAAATCTATTTATTGGTGAAGATAAAAAGAAAGAATACCCAATCGTATGTTATGAAAGTTCCTTCCATGTTCCAGCTGCTGCTCTTGCTTTATATTCAATGCACGCTCCATCGGGGTTTTAAGCGATGACTTTTCGAGATGGAAATAGACCTTCAAATAGAGAGCGATTGTTCAGGATATAGGTGGTGCATTGGGAGTCATGGAAAAAAGCGCGCAGAATCGAGGCGAAAGTTTTGAATTAATTGGATGACAACTCACTATATAACGAGTCTATTATCATTAGGAGACAGAGTAGGTAATACTGGCCTAAATCACCGATGACTAGAAAACCCACCATCGCCAGCTTTCTAAGAAAACCGGAAAAATTGCATTTTTAACTCACGTCGTGCTCAGATGACGTGCCTACGTCCGATTTACACTTAATATTACTATATTTGAAAACTCCTTACAATTGAGAGACCTTCACGACGCTACCTATCGCAAGAAAATAGAGGCCTATCCACGGATAGTAAGTAAGTACAAAATTTAAAAAAAAAAAAAAAAAGGAGGAGGAGGAATTACCTTGCAACCAAGAGAACAGAAACTGAAAGAATCAAGAAGGCTACGCTCACAAACTTGACAAGTATTAGTAACGCCTTTGCCTGGCCTAGGTTGAGGCCTTTCATTCAAGAAAACAATTCTTGCACTGTTAATAATGTAGGTTTGAACTCCTGTTATGTCCAAATATTTCTGAATCTCAGACACTCTAATCACGTCGTGGTACGATGATCTCCTTATCTACAACCATTAAAAAAAAAAAAACAATAATAAGAATCCATTTTAATAATTTCTTGAAATAATTTATATTAATAAAAGAATACAATAATAAATAAATCCATGTTCCAGCTGCTGCCCTTTTATCAAGCCATGGTTTTAGGATTCAGTACCCAAAAGCACATGTCATTGGTCATGAAACCAATGCAAAATTTATGTGACCAAAGCTTATCATTAGAGACAAGAGGCATAGCCAATCACACAAAAACCCCACCATCGCAGCTTCTAAGAAACCGTAAAAATTGCATTTAACTCGTTCTTTCAATACTTTTATCGATTAATTAAATTAAATTTGAATTTATTAGAACCTCACACCACCATCAGAAAATCAAGAATCAGTAGTAAGTAAAAAAAATGGCATATATATACCTGAATGGCTCTGTGATCTTTGTGATAAGAGAGACAAAGAGAACAAAGGGCTCCATTCATGCAATCCAAGCAATACATATTGCATTCACTCTTATGAGCATCAATATGAAGCTTACAGTGAACAAAGAAACTTGTTTGCAACAGTGGACGAAGCCATGGCGGCCATTTAATATCTTCTATATCACGACCACCATTACTATTATCATCATCGTCATCTGGACCTCCACCTCCCTAAATTCAAGAAAATAAAAGATGGGTTTTCAATATTCTTGCAAGAAACAGCAAATTAAATGTATATATACATATGAATGTATCGATTTACCATGATTCTTCTGCTTTTGGGTTTGATTTCTCTTACAGTGGGTTCTTGATCATTGATGATCATCAGACTGTTTTAGAGAGAGAGAGAGAGAGAGAGAGAGAGATGAAATGGAAGGTTTCTTTGTTTCCTGTTTATTTGCTTTTGTAGAATAAGAGAAGACGGAGAAAGAGAGGGAGAGAAAAGAAAAGTGGGGTAGTAGCTTGTAGTGGTGGGTGGAGGATGGGGGTGTGGAAGGTGCTTATCTTTGGGCTTAAAAGTCTACTCCCGAACCTAATATCCGAACCTAAACCAAAAATTAGATGCGTTTGGTTTAAGGAACTGACCTTTCCTATTCTTGTATATATATTCTCCATTTTCTTTTTTATTGTTTTTCTTTTCTTTCATTGTTGTCGTTTTGTTAGATTTTTTAGTGGTTGAAAATTATGTAATCCAAATTATTTTATTCAATTTTTAATTAATTTTAAATCAGACGGACCTGCCAATAAGTCGAATTATAATTAATACGATAAATTATTGCATATGTATGTATATATTGATAATAGTGCTTAAATTTATAATCATTATCTAAATTATAAAGAATGAGCTCATATAAGATAATAAATAATAAGAATATTTTTAAATATATTAAATAATATTTTTTCTGTTTCATAATAAATTGTTTCTGAGTTATTATTAATTTGAGACATTGAAATTAATCGTTTTTTATATTAATTAAAAAACAGTAAGATAAAAATTATTTTATTTCTTAATTAAGAAAACAATATTTTATTCTTAATTATTCGTAGCAAAAATTAAATGGAATGGTTGTTTTGAAACGTTTTTTTTTTTTTTTTTAAGTTTTGAAACGTTTTTTTTTTTTTTTTTAACAAAAGAAGGGAAATAGTGGTTTAGTTTTAAATATATCTGAATTATATTTTTCCAGGTATAATAATTAATATTTTTTTTTGTTTCATTGTTTTTAAAAGTTAGTTTCAGTATAAATTTATTTAAAATAAGAGTCCGAAAGGTTGTGTCCTTTTTTTTTTTTTTTTTTAACATGCTTTTTTTTTTTTTTTTTTTTTTAACATGCACGGTAGGAAGCAAATACTATTCTCTTTAAAAGTACTTTCGAGAGCCGGAGCAGAATTTTACCTTGTAAATTTTCTCCATACACAATATTTTATAAAAAATTTAAAATTACTTGATTAAGGAGATCGAACATTTGGCTCAGACCATTTTAGTTTTGTTTTTCACATGAAAGTTTTACTTGGACACTATTATAGTTTTCATTTTTTCTAAATTTAGGTTGGCCATTTGAATTATTTTACCAAAAAGAAAAAAAGAGAATCATAATAATGTACAAATGTTTGTCTGTTGTGTTTGAAACTGGGGTGGTGTTCTTTTCAACACGTCAAAAAATGGTGAATCAGCAAAAGGAAAAGGGTTGAAGACATAGCATGTGTTCGATTTATGTTCTTCTGCAATTAACGACATAATTTCGACTGTTGAATGAATCCTGTTAGGTTTAAAGGTTGGCCTGACTACTGGTTTCAAATCAGAACTAAATTGAAAGCAAATCGGTAAAAACTGGGATCAATGGTTCTTAATTTCAAATTGTAACTGAAACTCTGTATTTAAAATTGAGTTTTGATTTTTTAATTTTTAGATTTGGAACTGACGATTATGGTTCAAGCCAGACGGTTTTAGTTTAAAATCCTGAAAATCATGTTTTTAAAGAAATTTGCAATTTATGTTTTTAAAATAAATTTTAAGAAACTTTATTAAGTTTTTTGAATTATAATATTTATTATTATTTCTTCGAGCTCTAAGTCTAAAATGGACTTTTATAAAGCTTGAAACAAATCATCCAATTTTGGTTATAAACCGAAACTGGCGATTTCAAAACCGTCTTAAAAATATTTCTAAAAGCAATTTGGTTTCGATTCTAAACTAAAACTAGTGATTTCGAAACCGTCTTAAAATTCTTTCTAAAGCAACTCGGTTTCGATTCTACCTTTCTTATAATTCAAACAGGCGATTTTGAAAGTAAAACCGGCAGATATGGAATTGTGGTTGTCCCAATTTAAATGTCAAATTACCCGTTGAAGTTTCTAAAGAAATTCAATCCGGCATATAATTTATTTTTTATTAATTACACGCCTCAATTTTACTTTAGTCAATCAAATCTAATTTTTGAATACAATATTATTTTTAGTTTTACCCAAAAATTTTCAAAAATTCAACAAAAGCAACAATATAACAGAAAAATTTTTGAACATTAAATACCAAAAACTCAAAAAAAAAAAAAAAAAAAAAAAAAACGTCAAAAAAAAAAAAAAAAAAAAAAAAAAACCCAAATTCAAATCCTAATTTACTATTAAAAATTTATTTGATTATATTAAATTTGGAGGAATCAAATGAAGTCTTAGATTTTCCAAACTTAAAATCAGGTGGATATATACTTATTTCTTGTATGTCTAGGTTTTCCATAATCAGAGAATCGGCAATTCCTAAATTCTTTTGAGATTCTTCTCTTATTACCATGTTGCTTATTTAATCAAGTGAAGAAAAAGGCTTAATGAAAATTTTATTTTTGTCTTTAAGGTTTGACAAGAATCTTAAAAATTTCATTTATATCCCTATTTAAGGCCATGCAACTATAAAAAAAATTTGTAAATTCATTTATCAATTAACAATATATATGGAATCTTATATCAGTTCATTTGCAAAGTCACAAGTCTATCTATAATGATTTACTACTCTTAAACAAATTGTATGGAAAGAGATTTAATATGATATATTATTAATTTATATTGTTACTTAAAATAAAAATTAGGTTTGCATAACCAATCTTTTGAGAAAGGCTTTTTGCTTTTGCAAATGCCAGCAGAATAATTCTATAATTCATTGATGGTGTTGCTGTGTTAGGTACAAAGTAAAAGAATTTGCAGAGTTCATTTACTAGCAGGCTTCTAGCCATGCCTAGCTTTTTGGGATGATATGTTCAAAACTTTCCAAGTATAATTCCTTTACTGCATTGTCTTTTGTCTCATAATTTGACCATCCAAAAGTAGGAGAATATGCACATATTAATATGGAAATTACAAAAAATTTTTAAAAAGCATCGCATGAAAATGCCATGTTTGCTTACTGCAAATTAGAATGATATGCAATTGACTGCAGTGATAAGTGATCTCAATCTCTGTTAAAGGTGATGATATAAATTTGATCATCGTAAAGCATGTTTATCGAGACAGTAAAAAATATTTACGCTGTACGAAAATTAGACCTCAAAATTCTATTAAAAAAAAAAGAATGATATGCTATGAATCACAATACTATTTTATCATTTATTCAAATTATTAATTTTTATAATCACTTTCAAAATTATATATTGTAATTATTGTTTATGATGTTGTAATTATTAGTCAAAAAATAATTAAGTGAAAATCAAAGTCATACAATAATACATTTACGCAAGTAATAATAAATACATTAAAAATGCTTCTAGAAATTTGGAATTTGAAACCATCTAATACGGCACTTGTCAACATTAATCCCAAAAGAAAATGAGCAAATCATTTTTTTTTTTTTTTTTTTTTTTTTTTTTTTTTCTTTTTTGAAGTGTTTTTATTTTTTTTTTTTTTTTTTTTTTTGAAGTGTTTTAGTGTGATGTAGTCTTTTCCTTTCACAAACCGTAAGACTACAAACAACTCTATAATCCTATCACCATCGTCTCATTGCCTCGATTGCAAGATAGTTTTTTGATTTGGGATCCATTTCTTTGAATAAAATGATTTGTAAGGAAATATTTTTCATAAGTTTTTGTTATTTGACGCGTTCATGAAAATAAATCAACGAAAAATATTTTATTGATCAAAGAAAAACTACATCATTTTTAAGAAAAATGATTTTCAATTTTCAATATAGGAAAATATTTTCTGAATATTTGACAAAATTATCATAATCTTATAAATATTTATTTTTTAATTTATTAATCACTAGTAACTAGCCACTACCATTGATCGTCGTTTACTACCAGCCACTACCACCAGCTTTCCAACGACTTTCATTTTTTTGCATTTTTTTTCATATTTAATAATAAAATGTTTAAAATATGAAATTCTATTATTATAAATATTTTTATTGTTTTATAAATTAAAGATTTTAATAACTAATTTTCAATATTATAACAAATAACAGAAAATAAATCATTTGGAATATATTTTTTAAGAAAAATATTTTGTAAAAGTAAGTTATTTTTCGGAAACAAATGGAACCTTAAATTCATTAGTTTCGTAGGACTTAAATTAATTAAATGTAAGAGAAACCAAAGTAATTAATTATAATAGCTCAATCATCCTTTATCATAAATAAAGATGGATTCAGGCTCTAAAATAAAAGGGATTAAAGAAAAATTTAAAAAAATTAGGAAGGTAAATGAAAGAAAATTTTACAATTTTAAACTTAATGGAGGCGAATGCCCCTCTCCCCCACCATAAGATCCGTGCAATGGATCTTAGGGAAAATATTTCAATCAAGAATTAAAAAAAAAAAAAAAAATCTAACAAACCCTTTAAAAAATTAGGGCAAAATCACCACAATAGAAAAAGGTAGTCACCTTAGGTTAGGGAAGGATAGATATTAACAAAGGAAAATGAAATAATTAATATTGATATGGCATGCAATGCTTATAGTAGCATATCTACAATAAAATATATAAATATAGTTTTTTTTTTTTATTATTATAGTAGCACACAGTTAAGCAGTATCAAAGCCACTTGATCACTATTTAGAGCACTAAATTAAATTTAGTGATTAGACTGAATCCACTTGGTGTATTTGATAACAATTAGGCCTGTATTCTTGATGTGAAATGTGATGGATGCCTTTCTCGTTTATTCTGATTTAATTAATCAAGCACAAGTGGTCTTGCCTTTTTTATTTTTATTTTTATTTTTATTTTTTAAATTCATGAGAGGCTAAATAAATTATGGGTGCATGGGCATTAGCCATTGGGCCTGTTGGGCTAAACAGACACATTACCGTATGGGCTGAACCATTGAGATGCGCTTCATGTTCCTGAGTAGTTGGGCTAAGCCTGGGCCTCATTTAGAAATTCAACAAAAGTTTTAGTAGTTTTTAAGACTTTTATAAGGTCATCAACCCAATTTAAAACTTGAGGTAAACATGGCCATGCGATCTTCGATCTGGTCTAATTTTAACCTAAACAGAGTTAGTTCATTTTGCCTAACAAGAAATAGTTCATTTTGATATAAATATAATAAGTGAGGCCCAAACCCAACCCAATGAGTGAATGAGCAGTGAGTAACGTCTTGGTCTTGGTCTTGGAGGAGGTAGAAGTAGTAGGAGGATGAGGTACGGAACAGGCATTGATTGACACACAGTTGGCACATGGGAGGGCGGAACAACAGAGGGCATATCATACATACTATATGATAATATGTGGGCTTTCTTTCAGGTACGGACAGGTCGGTTATTTGTACTTTTTCTGCTCTTTCGTTTTTTGTACAGTAGCTAACTGATAATAAGTTGAGCCTCCCTTGAAAACGCTGCCCAAGGAAACAACCAGTCCTTTTTTTTTTTTTTTTATCCATAAGTGCCCTTTTGTTTTTGTTTTTCCTCGCTAATAACGTCGCAAATGTACAAAATAATACAGTTGTCTTTGTGGGAATAATGGGCTTGGCAAGGGCACCCTTGGGATTAAGACGATGCGGATCATATGGCACGATCTTGTCCACATGTAAGAAAGAAAGAATAAGATGCCTAACTTATCAAAAGATTTTGTTTGATTTGTTTCTTGCTTCCTTATCTTGTCATTTTAGCAGTTCCTTTGGATCATTTCATCGATCAATATGTTAGAAAGGGTTTCAGCATTTCAATTTGAACGTATTAGCAGAATGTTTTTTTGGTTTTTTAAAATTAATCAATGCAATTTAAATTTATGGGTTCACTAATAATTGATGAGTTAGCCCAATCTAATAAGTCCTATTTCTATCGTTGAAAAATAAAACAAAATAATAAATTTTACATTGAATAAATAATAAATAATTAAATTACTTATAATTGAATTGACATGAATTTAGCATATACCACCTTAAATCTATTAGCAATGAGATCAAATAAAATAAATAAATTTTAAAATTAAAATATCAAAATAAATTAAAGCAACTAAAATCACATAAGTTCATTCATTTAAAAAATTATAAATATTTTAATTTTTAGATATTTTAGCTTGTCTATTTTGGAATTTAATTTAAAAATTGAATTTCTAAATTATCAAATTATCTGACATGACTCGATAATATATATATATATATATATATATATATAAAATTTCCATTTTTTCATCAATTATGTTCTGTTTATTAAAATCTAAATTTTTGAAGAGTATTAAAATTTAATTTGAGATTAATAATAATATATAAGTACGGTTTAATATAAACCAACCCACCAGTCCACTATAAATAGACCTATCATCTTCTCTTCTCCCTCTCGTCGCTGCCAAAGGAAAAAACATCAACCAAGAAACAGGAAAAGAAATGGGCATTGAAAGAGAGGAAAGCGAGCCCAGAGCTATTCCGACGCCGACGCTCATATTCACCTACGGAACATTAAAGAAAGGCTTCTCTAATCACGCTCTAATGCAAGATCTGATGAAAACCGGAGACGCCGTCTTCAAAGGTAACTACCGAACCGTAGAAAAGTATCCTCTCGTATGTGGGCCATACAGGGTCCCATTTCTCCTCAACCTCCCCGGAGCCACTGGATCCAAACAAGTAACCGGCGAATTATACGCTGTCACCGGTAAAGGACTCGCCCGCCTCGATGAGCTGGAAGGCACAAGCCGCTTCCACTATGAGAGATTGCCGATAACGGTGACGGCGGATGATGGTGAGGAAGGAAAACCGTGCGCCGCGGAGGCGTATTACGCGCACAGAAGCTACGCAATGGAGATGTGGAAAAGGAATGGGAAGAGAGGGTATGGAGTATACGGAGAGAAGGAAGCGAAAGGGTATATTAAGAGGAAAGATAGGCCTCAGAATCTGAGTTTTTTAGAACAGATTCATGTTTTTGTGACCTCTATTGATGCTAATTGATCAAATTATATATAACAATATATTAAAAACCAGAGCTAAAAATTGTTAATCAATGTATAATTTTGTGTTTGTGACTGTGATTGTGCTATAGCCTTTTGTTCTTTTTGTGATATTTAAATGTGCTAATTTTGTGATTAGATGTTGGTGTAAAAGAGATTATGGGTAGCTTAATTGCATTCTGCATTTCCCCCATCTCCCTTTTAATTTTTCAGCATTAAAAGGGAATTTTTACTTTCACAGTTGTTTTTGTGGTTGGTGGTGGTTAGTTGGATTTATTCAGAATTTAAAAATTGAAAAGCAGATAAAAAAAAAAAAAAAATTCCCTTCAGTTCAGAAACGGAATTGAAGTACATACTATGAATTATTACTTTGACAAAAATTATCATAATCTCTCAAATTAAATTTAAATGAAGTTGCATAGTTTTTTATTTTCATTTTAAGAAATAGAAGTAAATGATTTAATTCATGAAACAAAAATTGAAGCCAAACGTGCCAACTGTATGCATGTATAAGATTTGTGTGTCATTATGAGGATGTACAGAGAAGGGTGAAATGTGGAGTGTATATTCCACAAGATTCTTGCAGATGCAAATCAAATGACAATTTTGACAATTTGGACATTGTCTCATATTTTTATTGAAGGACCAAGTCATCATCTAAGCATTTTCCACTTGTTCTTTCACAAGTAGGAAAAATATTAATTATTTATTTATTGCTGAATTAATTATTTTGTAATAATGTCATTGACGAAATCTATATGTCAGAAACCACAAATGATCCTTAACCAGGACTCAAATCTGTTCTAGAAGGGCAGAAATTGAAATTTTCAAGCAAGAGAATCGTTAGTCAGGTTCAGGTAATTATTGCTTATTTTATTTATGAAAAATATTATTGTTTTTAAAATAAAAATATGTAACTGAAAGTAACTCCAAATCTGTCTCTTTCTATTTCTGTCAGAAACCACAACAGATTTAGAGTTTGGCTGGGCATGGCATGCTAGTCAGAAATCAATCTCATTATAATATAATGTGAACTGCAATATTCTTCACTTGATCACATATAAATAATTTGTCGCTGTTATGAATCTATTATTTAATTTTATAGGAATAACTTGTATATGAAGAGCCAGACTGAATCATCAACATCCCAAGCCAAAATGCAATAATAAAATACAACACATCAATAGTTTTGAAGTCATCTTCTGGTTAAGAGGTCTTCAATTTGAACATCAATGGAAACTCAATTTTCTTTTGAGAAAAAAAATACAGGCTACAAAGAACAGGATCATCTCGGATTGCCGCATAATTATCTCAACCCACGTCCTATCTTATGGTATAATAAATGAGGAAAGCCTGTTATTGCCGTATAACTGTCTCGAAACGTCGATTTGGATTATCAGTAAGTATACTTAACTATAGTAATACAAACAGCTCACCTCCATCGTTCTACATTGAGTTGACATCTCTATCCCTGATTTAGATCAATTAATATGTTAGTTTATAACACACAGAATATATTAAGAAAGTGTATATTCACCAAATCTTGAGTTTTTAGCAAGCAAATAATTGCAAAAGTATGTAATATATATATATATATATATATATTAATATCTAATTATACCTTATTTTCTGTAAATTCATTGGTATCAGTCAGCTGTTGTGTCCTGCAGAATTGCAAAGAGCATGAGTACAAATGTTGAAGGTATATTATCATACATCCATTTGCTCTCTTAGTTCAGAACCGTAATTGACCCGGCAAGATTAAAAAGTATAATTCAAGATAAAACATAAACAGCTTTTTGATCCTTAAACAAGCAAGTAATATTCTTTTAAGCTACAACCATGACATGAAGTCATAGAACTTTACCACATTGATGTATGACTGATACCAAGCCCATTGCAAGTAAGTATCATTCCCTTAAATCTGGCAAGATATTCCTGCATTGTAATACCAGAATTGCCTGATCAGTGTCAACAAACTATGCTGATTGAACACTGACATCAACTTAAAGAGTGTACGTTTACAAACTGGAATCTATGAAGCATAAAATTCTTACCCGCAAAGTATACTTATCAATCTGATATATTCCAGTTAAATCATAGTCAGAGCGTTTAGCTGGATCACTCAACACTGGAGAAGAATATAGTAATAAGAAAAGAATAAGCAGAAGTCTATTGCACGTCACTCAATAATCAATATCACACTTGAACATTCACACTGCATCAACTAATATCATAAAACCTTCAAATGTATCGGAAACTAATTGCTTTAATTCAACTGAGAAATGCTGTTTGAAACAGAATAACTTTCTTCTTTTAACCATATATTTCTTTGTGTGCAGAGAAATGCTGCTTCTGTATAGATCAAAATTAGGATCCTAAAGCTTGCCTAAAATTTACTTATTCACACACTCTTTAGCTTTTGCCAGAATAAATATTTAAAATCATTCATTTCTAAGACCTATTAAATCCAGTAAGTAGGCCAGAACCCAGAACCACAAAATGAATTTCCCTGGTTGATGCACCAGAAGTAGTATGCATCATGCCACATTAAGATGTGGACCGTCGTTATCGTGCAAAAGGGCTACCTCTGTAAGCTTCATTGATCTGTTGAAATTTTGCTGTCACAGCACTATCACCCTTGTGTTTATCAGGATGCCACTTCTGTAGATTAAGGAAATATCATGAAACATCTTCTATCAATATCATAGCAATTAAATAAAGCAAGTATAGCGATCAAGAAACGTAAAAGCTCACATAAGAAGCTGCTCATAGTAGATGCACCACTAACCAGTGCAAGCTTTAGGTAATTTAATCTTATCTTCTCATCTGTTGCATCATAATCAACCTCCAAGATTTTGTAGTAATCCTAGAAGAGTGGGAGTTTCACTGTCAGATGTAAGTTGATTTATATAACTGTAAACTTAAAAAATAAAAACTGAAATCTCCATGTCAGGAAACTGAGTACAATCACATTGTAAACAAGAGCTTACATATATGCAACTTGATATCTTGAGGAAATGGGGACATAAAAGAGAGCTGAAGGGATAAATCATATCTTGAGGAAATGGGGACATAAAAGAGAGCTGAAGGGATAAATCAGATGACAAGATTCTAATCAGTCACTAATTGGACTATTTGACCAACTGAAAGTAATGATTGGTTTATGGAAAAATGATGCAAACAGATTGCCAGCTAAAAAAAAATTCAAACAATTTTTGTTCAGTCTTTGATAATTTTTTCTAATAAAAATTTTTTAACGTCCTTCCTCTATGCTTTACTACTATTAATCCTTTCCACAAGTTAAACTTTCTATTGCCAAATTTACGAAGGCACCATCTTTTAGTGAATTATTGCACACTTAACATGCATAAAAAGTCACCACATTTTAGTGAATTATTGCACACTTAACATGCATTCAAAGTCACCACCTTTGTCTACAATGCTTATATAGCTGCATCAAATAACATCATCTTAGATGCCATAATTCATGCACAGAATGAAAGTCAAGGACCACACCATATATTAAATAAGAGGAAATTGGAACTATTTCATGAGCAATGGAAATGGTCTAGGAAAGAGTGGTTTACAGAAGAAGCAAACTTTAGGCATTAATTCTCACATGGAACTAACTAAATGTGTCCAAACAACTTCCACTTTTGAATCCTCTAACTTGGATCCCATGAGTAAAACTACACCAACTCATTTCTTAAAAATGTATTGCATTGTACTCTTTCCAACTTTACTGTGAATTTTTTTTAGATAGGAGCACCCAATGGCAAAACAATCGTATTAACCATAATGGACAAATATTGAATAAAAAAAAAAAAAGAAGATATTTTGACCAAATAAATATTGATTAAGAAAAGTTCCACTAATGAAGCATCTGCAGCAGGCAAAAATAAATACATTGAATATCAAGTAAGCCAAGTTAATTAGAGATGGATTCCATAGAAATTAAAAAGAAGCCACTTGAATTCATGCGTTCCATGGAGTTGTCTCCAATAAGTCTAAAAGGTTGTGCAACAACGAAGGCATGCTTTATGAAGTAGCAAATCCAACACCATTTCAAACAGATTCATAGGATTTATAAAAGGTTGTAAGCTAATTAAACTTAAGATCTAATAAATAGCCATAGAACTAGAAACACCACTCAAATCAAGTAAAATGAAAAAACACAATAAGGAAAAATGCATTTCTTTTGGAGACGACTAACGTGGTATAGGATTTCTTTTTGCGGAGCATCCGAATATCATTACCAAAGGCAAAAACCTATCCCAAGAATAGATACTTAAGGGAACATGATTAAAGCAATTATGTAACTGTAGAAAGCAAAACAATAAAAAGTTGTGAAATGATAGGTACAACCATCATTCTTTATTCAATCGTGTTCCACAAGCACTTTCAACATAAAAGCTTTATTTGATTTGCTGCATTATTGAAATTTTGATCTCATGCTTCTCAGTGTACTCATTACTCAACCTGAATAAGCAATACACCTTTGGATAATTAGCCATAGCATGGTCTTCTTTGTCAAACCTTCTATAATACATATACTGAGGTCTAAAATCTTCAAATTTATTTTCTTTCTTACAATTCCTGAGCAACCAACCTTCACCTATATTTCCAAAAGATTACACCTTGCTAATCAAAACAAGCTTCCTAGATTGTAAGCAAAAAGTTAAAAATTCTATAAGGCATTTCTTTATCTAGTAATTATTCCAGTAGCAAGCTCATATGCAAAAAACCATTTACTCAAAATGAAAAATGGAACTCGAGGGGAGTAAAATGAGCAGAAGCCAACACCAACTACAAAAAACAACTGAATTCACATACACGTGAAACCCCCCCCAAAATTCAGCACAGTAATTTTAGTAATTATTTATTCTATCTGGACCCACACAAAATTTATAAAACCCATTTCATTTCTAATCTTTTCCTTCCTTTTCCATAATTGATTAGAAGAAAAAAAAAGTGAAAACCCTGAAATTCCAATTAAGGTCCAAGCAAATCATCATCATGCAGGAAGTAAGAAGAAAAAGAAAAAGTGAAGTGAGATTATTTTTGTGCACCTTTTGAGTGGTGTTTTCATCGCCTTCCATCTTCTATGAGTATCGGGTTGGCGTGCAAGGGATTCTCTGCACAATTCATTTCACCCCCCAAAAAAAAAGAAAAGATATTTGCTTGAATTTACTACAAATAAATGAAATTACTTCAAGTTTTCATAGATATTCAGAAAATAAAAACTAGAAACAATAATGGAAAACTGGGTTGAGCGGTGAAATTGGATTCTCGAAAGTTAAGTAAAGAACGATGAAGAAGAGGTTCGTCGGATGCCACAACCACAACAACTGTCGATTTGGGATTAAATTTTCGTTCGGACAATTGTTATTTTATTGTTATCCGTTACTTCTGCACGTGTCATGCACGTGGCAAACTTCGTTTTTCTTCCCTTTTTCTTCGAGTAAAAACTTAACCATATTGTTTTGATAAATTTTTGTTTTTTGAAATAGTTTTGGTAATTTTTATTAGTTGAAAATAAGGAATATTATTCTGTAATCAATAAAAGAACAATTACAGGATGGAATTAGCATTTGTAATGTTTTATATATACTAATCCAATTTTGAATGACAAAATAAAATATATTTTAAATAAATTTTTTTTTTAAAGTATGATCACATTTAAAATATCAAGACCAAAGGTACAAAACTTATTAATCAATCTCAGTGATTAAGGATCAAATTTATCAACTTTAAAATAGCAGAAATGAATATATATAATATATATATATATATATATATATATATATATATAATATAATATATATATATATATAGTATTATAATATAATTATCTTTATTGCGATATTAAATATTTATTGGTTGGAAGGCAATCAATGTAAAGCAACTTTTAACTAGAGTTTCGATCTTTATGTTACACTCACAGGTTGGGATACATAATATCTGATTTTTTTTATTTAATTTTTTAAATTAGTATATTGCTTTATGAGTTAAAAATAAAAATAATATCAATGTTTATTATATATTAACATAGAGATAATTTACAACTTCGAAACAGTGTGTTGGTTTTTCTAGCTAGTGTAGGGGGACCTACGATAGGAACTCCAGCACATAGTTTTTATCTTTTAAAATATTGAATTTTTTTTATATATGTAATATTTTCTACAATAGAATTCTACAGAATTCCGTTTTAAGAAATATAAATTTTAGTAATATAAAATCTTTCAAATAATTGATAGGAGGTTAAAATTTCCTTGATAAACTGGCAAGTAATAATAAAGAAAATTAAAAATGAAGCTGTTAATTGACCCTTGTATGATAATATATATTAATTTATTAATTAAAAACTGAACAACTAGTAATTTTGTAGATAAAGAAATTAATTATATTTATGATTATATAGGTATTTTTGTCCAAGGAGAAAATCAATTAGATGAGCTCCCATCCCACCTCCTCCATTCATTTTTTTTTTCCACGAGAGAAAGGAATATATATAAAATTATTGTTATTTTTATTACATATTTGTTGATTTCGTTTATGCTATATTGCGTATGAATTCTAGATAAAAAATATATTTTAATAAAAATTATAATTCAAACATTTAAAAATTAAACGAGTCGAGATTTATTATTAAACACTAAATAAATCAAAATTATTGTAAACAAAGAGGAATATATTTAATAGGACGCATCTTAAATTATAACGATACAGGTCAACATGTTAAATTTTAAATACTAAGATCGGAAAGATTTGACCAGGGCGAAATCTGTTAATTCTTATTCGTTCTTCGGAGAAGCGAAATCATCTAATTTTCAAGAGAGTTTATAATTCGTGAAAAATAAATTTTATAGACCGAAGTTATAAAGGCGGATCAAATCTCACAAAATATCTTTTATCAGAGCTAATCTCGTTAGGATTGAATACAAGTAAAATATATTGATAATCAGGTTATGCATCTTTTAAATATTCAATGAAAAATTATAATATCTCAAACCACATTGATTTTGCTAATCCTTTTATTTTTTGCCATTTGATATAACTTTTTTAATCAGTGGATGGTAAATCATTACTTCTACATTTTGTCGTAAGTTCCTTGCTAGAGTCAAATTAAAAAGGTGGCATCCTGGAGAATGAATTATTTCATATATTTTTCATTATGCCATTCCTTCATCTTTTTCTTGTATCCCCTCTGTCGACGCCTCGTTCTCTTCTAGCATAGAGAGAGGATCTCGAAGGATCATTTACAACCGTTTCGTTTTAAGCAATGTCCAGTCAATCTCAAGATGATAACATGCAAAGGTAAGAGTATTAATAATAAAATTGCAAGTTTGGTATTCATATAAAAATTGTAATTTGAAACTAATAAAGATTATGTATAAATCTTACTTAGGGCGGATGCGTTGGGGGGCGGAGAGCCGGCGTTGAAGGTGAGATAGAGAATGAAGTAGTATTCGAAACATTCCATAGTGGCTTAAGATGCCCTATGTGCTGTCTTTTGTCAATGCTGAT